ATACAACTGATGGGCAGCCAGAAGCCTCCCCACGCCACACTGCTCATAGTCACATCATCTTTGCCGGCGGGCTATAACCTTTCCCCGTCATGAACATCCATCCTTTGTGAAGCTCGCCCAGCATCACAACATCACGCGGGGGCATATTTGTCACCGTAGCAGGTCAGCCGTGCAGCCAATTTAAGTACTCCACCAGTTCCCTGGGATTCAATTACCTGCCTATGACCTCAGCCCATGTCCGCCTGCTCTCTCCGACTGTCGTTAGGGTTTGCCAAAACAGCGTGCGTCAGCTAAAAATGTCTTGTGCCGTTGGTATACAGGCACCTCGCAGCATATTTGTGCAAATGCGGGAATGGCGTGTAGTGCACGTGGGTTCAGATGAGAGAAAACAGGGGAAATAGACAGTAATAGATCCTAGGAGAGTGAGTGAGAGAGGTGCACCCTGTGCCAGAGTGATCCCCTGGTTTACTGTAATATACACAGATTAGTCTGGCACAGGCAGGGGTGGTTGTTGATACTTTGCTGCCTCAGCAGTCCAGTCATGAGAGCAGGGAAGACCTGGGTTGAAGAGGGGGCCCCCCAGAGCCCCCTCGCTCCTTCAGCCTCCACCAAAAGGCTCCTTTCTTTGTCTTTCTCTGTGGTGACCCCTCCCCCAATCGTCGTCTGCCTCCCTCTTAACACCTAGCCACAATTTAAGGAGGAGGGGGGGGGGGAAGAGCGACTGACGGCACACGCCGTGTGCATCAGGATTTGATGTGGTGACTCACTGTAAATTACCATCACAGGTACGAGTCGTTTCCATCCATGTGAATTGTAAGAACAAGAAGAAGAAGGATGCCATGGCCGGAGACATGTGACAAAGCACCGGTTCACTCTCCGGGAGACAGGCATGATGAGTGGGTCTGATCTGAGCTGTGCTGCTGTCTGTCATAGCAATGGAGTCTGTATCATATTACCTTTGTCTGGCTCACCGAGCAGCAGCAGCTCCATCAACACACTGTCCTCCACCATGGCTGCACTTTGTTAGTGGGATCCACAAATCTCACAAAAAATAAATAAAAAGGAGGGAGGTGGGGGGTGGGGGGGGTATTTCTCTTTTGTTTGCTGCAATGATGCATGATTATGTTGTTGATGAGGGGAAAAGGGGCCTGTCAGAAACATCCTCCCCAGCTGAAGCCTGGGAACAAAAGCTTCCAGAGTCACAGTGGAGCCGGAGACAAAACGATGGAGCTGCGGGGAAATGAACGTGCGTGTGTGTGTGTGTGTGTGTGTGTGTTTACTTTGCATTTTTTTTTCTTACCTGGCCAATGTCACCGACAACAGCCCCGGTCCCGTCTATCCTCGGTCTCTTACACTCCGCCCCGGCCAAGTCGGTGAGCGCAGCCGCTGTCTGAGCGTCGGGCTCCGGGTCCCCTCGCTTCATCCCCCGGACAGCTGCTGGACCCCCGGGCGCGATCGCGAGGGGTCCGGCGGCCGCCTCGATGTCCCTCTCCCGGTCCATGATCCCCCGACTAACGGGCAGCATTATGGAAGCAACGTCGGTCGACATTAACATTGGACGGCGGACAGTCACCAGTCAGGGAAAAAAAAGAAAAAGTCTTTCTTTAGATATATTCGCCTCGGTTTCCTCGCTCCGTCCTCCTCGATGCTCACAATGGATCGAGACGCGTCGGATCTTCAGCCCAGATTTACAGTTTATTGTCTAACTTAGCTTTAGCTGTTTCGAGCTAAACCATACTGGCCCCCCAGAGGGAGTCGGGACCGGGGACGATAAACTACACTTCCCCCCTCCTTTTTAAAAAAAAAAAACCAAACAAACAGAACAAAGTGAACCGAACCTGGTTTAATAAAGATCACACGTCCGACTCCTGGATCCCTGACGAGCTAATTAGCTAGCTAACATTAGCCAGCTCGCTAGCATTACATTCCGCTAGCTCCGTCGGTGTGAACGCGGCTCCGGGAGCTCGCTCCTCGGTGTAATATCAGAAAATGTTGGGGGGGGAGGTATGTGGCTCTTCTCTCTCTGTGGAGCCACACGGTTCTCCTGCTGCTCTCGCTGGGGTGTTTTATTTTATTTAAAAATAAAAAGAAAGCCCCTCGCTCGCTCCGGAGGTTTCGGTCTCGCTCTGTGTCCTCGCACCGTCCGCTCCGTCGCCCGTGCTGCTCCGCTGTGGACGCGTCTTGTCCGCCGGTGAGGAGCCGCCTGCTGCTGCCGAGGAACACGGCTTCCTCTGGGGCTGAGTGCGGGTGAGTGCGTGCGCGTGGAAGGCAGCTGATCCGCGGTCGGATTTGTCCACGGGCACCGGGGTGAGGAGGGAGTGAGAAGGAGGTGAGGTGGGCTGGTCTGAGGTCTGTGCTCAGTCCCTTCCTTTTTCTCTCCTTTCCTCTCCTCTCCTTTCCTTCCTCCTCCTCCTCCTCCTCCTCCTCTCTGCTCCCCGCCTCCTCTGCCCTCACTTCTCCCAAATTCAAAATGAAGAAGATGCTTCCACTTGTAAGTAAATCAGCTCCAACACATCAGAGGAAAAACACACACTGACAACAACCAAGAGGACACGTCGAGCTGATTTAATTAATTAATTAATTAATCATGTTTTAATTGTCACATACAACAAAAATCATTTCCAGCTATGACATGTGTTTGTCTCAGAGCCAGCTCAACTTTTCAAAGTAGTTTATTACAGTAGGCAGAATTATATTATATTCATACAGTAATAATAAGGATAATGATAATAAAAATTACAATATTAATAATAATGATGGGCAAAAAATAAACTGCAATAAGAAGTAAAGGCCACATTTTACTCCATGTAAAAGAAATAATAATAATAATGTATTTTTATTTCACAGCACCTTTCTAGACACAATTATCTTTCAATTAATTAATTAGTAAAACCAAACGTTCAGATCAGATTAGGGGGCACAAACACCTTTCAATACTGCATAAATATAGATGTATATATATATATATATATATATATATATATATATATATATATATATAACAACCATCAAGAATACAACAGGACAATATTGACCACATATTTCAAGATTTGTACTGTCATAAAATATTTACATATAATGACACATCTTTATCACATATAATAATTAACATTAACATTAACATAAGCAACTACAAAACTACTACTGCTGCTGCTGCTGCTACTACTAATAATATACTAATGTCTTTCTTGACATTTAAGGACCTCTCACTATACATCATCATTAAAGTAAAATCTAACATTATAATCAGATAAGGAGAAACAACCACATAAACACCAGATAAATAAATGTCAAGAACTATGAAAATGTAAACAGTAAGAAGAAGGTAAATAACAGTAAGTTTAGTTTTTTACCTCTTAGTGTGTGTCCATCAATAGAAGAGTTGTCACTGTTTTAATTGTAGACAGAACACATGTCTCTTGAGTCTGTTCATTCTCGAAAACACATAGATTTTGAATTATGTAACGTGTTTGCTGTCGTTGTGGAATTCTCTTTATAAATTCAGTTGTATTAACAGCTGGTGTTTGTATTGAAAGGATTTCTGATTAAACTCAAATAATAAATTCCCCTGATGTCCACAAGCAGCAGAGGCATAAAGAAAAGAACAGAGACAAATAAAAGAGCTGCACCTGCAGTCTCTTGAGTTGGATTATAATTTTTTTTTTTTGGAAAGAATGATTTACTGTACACTCAGTGTTTTTTAATGTGTGTGCGCCCCCTGGTGGGTGTTCAGTGACAGAGCGTCTCAGAAAAAAAAAAAACATTTCCATCTCGACAGAATATAAATTCAAACTCTGCCCTTGAGAAAACTGTTCTCACGCAATTCATACAAAAGTAACACTCATCAAATGTGGCTGCTGCGGGTGTGGGCAGGTTTATAGTGGCAGAGCTGCAATAACCAAGAGAAGAGGGATTCATCAAAAAGAGAAATACTGCTACACACACACAGACACACACACACACACAGACACACACACACACACACACACACACACACACACACACAGAGACAGACAGACACACACACACCAATCTGCACTGATTCCTCACTTCACCTGTCTGCAGGCCTCAGAACAGATGATTGCTGTCACTTCAGGCCAACTGCCAGTGTGTTAATGTGTGTGACTGTTTGCATGTGTGTGTGTGTGTGTGTGTGTGTGTGTGTGTCTGTGTGTGTTTTCTCTCCCTCTCTGCCTCTCACTCCATCAACCTGAGTCCGTCTCCTGCTACCTGTCCCTGTGATGGGCTCCACTGAGGTCACGTCACTCCACACGGACCCTGAGAGCCCGCAGGAGCAATTACTGCCTCAAATCCAGCCGCAGACCTCCCAGGTTACGAGAGGGAACCAGTAATGAAAACTACACCCTGGTGTCTGTGGGAACATCTGTGTCGTACAGTGTCCCTGTGAGTCTCTCCATGTCATCCTACATTGCACATATTAATACCCAGTGGTACTACAGGTCCTGTAGAGGCATTATTTATCTGCACACCTGACCTGTTTTTCCAGGTTTGTTTTGCAACACTGGTTTTTTTTTTTTTTTTTTTTTTACACTGTTCAAATCTGTACTCTGGGAAAACAAGCAATTACCATGCATGTCAGGGACAAACCGGTGAAATTTGAGATGTATTGGCTATTTTGCTTCCATAACATGTCCACTTGAAGTTTGATTTCACAATTTTACAGAGAAACAGAAACCTATATGTCCATAACAATAAAATGCATATCCTGTCATATGGACAACACAAGTTGTGAATGACTTGTGTACACTCTCAGTGGAGGAACACAGTTTGGTTGAAGTTGGCTTTTGTTTTGCTCACACTTTTATAACATTCGATTCCTTAACATTCACTTTCATTTCTTCTTCTTCTTCTTCTTCAAGTTTTTCTGTGGCAAGTTCCTGCGGGCCGCCACCCCACCCCCACCCCTCTCGTCATAGGCGTTTACTTGTGTCAATCAGCCCTGCCAGCCAATCACAGGACTGTGCGACATCAGAGAGGCGGAGACATTTAGATAGATTATCACCTGGTCTTCTTCTTCTTCTTCGTCCTCCTCCTCTTCCTCGCCACATCCTGCTGAAGAGGCAGAGCTGAGCAGACCTTTCTACTGACGCTGGTATTTATTCTTTACGCACGATTATTAAAGTGTAAACGTGAATTTGCAGGTAAAAAACAGAATCTTCCTCGTAGCTAGGAAGTTTTAGATTTGTGTTTTCAGTCCTTGTTAACTGAGGTGGTTTGTTTTTCCACAGTCATCATGGGTCTGGACAGATGTGGCGTCGTGTGTATTTATGTCATCATCCTTTCCAACATCGTCCTGGCTGTAAGTCACTTTTTTTTATCACTCATTATCTTTGTCTAATTAAAAATATGCTGCTCCAATGTTCTTCATCTTCATCTCCGGGATTTATTTTTGTCATTTGTCGTTGTTGTGTTTTGAGGGACCGCCCCTCTGGTGTCTAGTAGAAATATGAGATAAAACAAAGACCTTGTTTCTTCTTCTTCTTCTTCTTCTTTTAAAGACGTTCATGGTTTTTTTTATAGCATAAAACAACTAAATCAAACCAAACTTAGTAGAAAAATCAGCTCTTGGACAAACATCGATGTGAACTAACTAGAATGAGCATCTTTGGGGAAAAAAAAGTGTATTTGATGTGCACTTTCACTTTGGTTTGGTCCACGTCTCATCTGCTAACATGGAGGAGACAGTGTTCATTCAGTCTGTGGTCTCGTGCAGTTTGTCCTACACAATGTAAAAAAACAAAATGTTTTTCCCGCTGTTGTGGAAAACATGACGCCAGATACAGAATATTATAGATGTCATTTGAAAGTTTGGACTGTTGATGCACCACGTGTTCACACTGCAGTTGCGTTTCCTGTTTGGCAGGTGGTGGGGTCCGCCTCTTTGGGTCTGGGCCTGTGGCTCAGGTTCAACACTGACACCAACGTCCTCTTACTCAGCTTCAAGTCATTTGCATTCGTTACAGGTGAGTTCACACTTTCAATTCATTCATCACCACAGGGATCATGATTATACATATTTTTATTTGTATATAACCCTAGTTTGGGAACTGCTGCAGTAACAGGTGTGTTTCTGTGTTTCCTGCATCAGGTGTGACGGTGATGATCGTGGCGGGTACGTTCACGTTGATCGCGGTGCTGTTTGGATCCTACGGTTGCTCCTCCAGGAAAAGATGGGCTCTGCAAACGGTAAGATGTGTCTCACAATGGTTAAAGTGCCACTTCTAGTAAAGTGCAAAGTAAATCTCCTGGGGGAGTGTGTTGTGACTCCCTGAATTTAGATTTGAGAGAACAGCTGATGTTCAGATTTGTTCTTCACACTAAAGATTATTAAAAGAAAAAGTGTAGAAAGTGACTTTGGTTTTGTGAATACAACTTCTGAGGATTTTCTCTCTGTTTTCATGAGCTAGTTAGAATTTGATGGTCTGCTGAAATGAGTCTGTAAATGTATGCAGGCTGAAACCTCACATGTTGGCACGCAACCACAACCACCCAGCAGGAATTCTAGTTCCCCTTCATTTCTTTCGCTTTCGTTTCGTGCTTTGGGATTCTATGTTATTTTCTAGTTTAATCTCGTAGTCTTGCCTCAGAGGAAGAGTTCAGACACATTTCTGAACTGCGAGCACAAAGCCTTGTGGTCTGTCGGGGCAAAACGGTTGAAAGACAAATAATGCAGCAAAGACTGAGACTAGTAAAGCATTTCGTACATGCAGGTGTTTTTTCTCACTGGTTAAAACAAAGCTTTTCTCACTGATCCATGTGCTGATGGATCAAGTGTTGTGATGTTCCCATGTTCCTGTGCGTTAATCAGATTAAAAGGTTGTTTCATCAACATGTTGTCATTAATCTGGATCTTCTCCCTCCCCTGTCAGTACTCTGCTCTCCTGTTTTGTCTTGCTATTGCTCCAATGGTCTTCGGGATTCTGGCTATTTCCATGAAGGATGAGGTGAGAGGGGCGCAGAGAGGGAGCGGGGAGACTGCAAAATCTGTAATTGCCTTCTACGTGTGCAGCCATGTCGTGTTTTTAATTTTCATCGTTTAGGTTGGACTGCGCACCGTAGAGTTCTACATCAGCTTGTATGCTCTGTACGATGGAAAAGATCCAGTCATTGGCCTCACTCTCAGAATCATCCACAACATGGTGAGCACTAACTGACTTTTTACTTCCCTCTAATAAAAAGTTTAACTATTAAGCTCTCGTCCTGATGTGTTTGTTCTGAACTCATACCCTTCATCTATAACTTTTTTACCAAAGCACAAAGTGTATGAATAAAAATGAATTATGTGAAATATGTACCATCGGTTATTTGTTACATTACAAAGTATTAAAACATGATTTGATATAAATGCTAATTAATTTAATTTGAAGTGTCTTTGATTGTCATTGACCTTCGTCTCCTGCTGTGTAGCTTCACTGCTGTGGCGTGACAGGCATCTCGCTGATAGAGTCGACCTGTCCCAAGCCGAGTGGATTTCTGGAGAAAATCATCATGCCTGTAAGTTGTTGAGTTGTCTGCCGAAGAAGTGTAACCTGGACCTGCTGTGCTCTGCAGACTCTGGGTGCTCTGGGTGCTCTGCAGTAAAGTGAGTTCACACAGTTTGTCCCGTCTCCCACAGAATTGTCCCGAGGTGATCGCACGCTCTTATCTCTCAACATACCCTTTCCTGCTGGCTGTCTGCTTTGCATATGCATTTCTTCTGGTAAGTAAAAAAGAATTCCAACTCATGTGCAGTTCATAATAATAATAATCTACAATAAAAGGCTAATTTTATTGTAGATTTTAGTGAATTGTGCAGAGGCACCAACTCAGGCTGACAATCAGGGAGCAGATACAGAGCCTTCGCTTTTATTGGGTCGCAGTAAAATAGGTCAGAGTTTAGCGTTTTAGATTCGAATAAAAAATTTTTTTTTTTAAAAAAAAGATAAAATGGTTGAAACCAAGATAACCAAAGAGTCTAAATGTGATTATTAACTAAACTGCAGGTCTACAGCAGTAATTCAGCTGCTTTGTGTCTGTTAACAAACTAGAGTCAAAATACAACAAATCCTTTTTCAAGAGGGTTTCCGTCTCTGGGGTTTCAGATCATTCACACTGATGTTTGTTCAAGTGCAGATTTTTAAAATGTTGATCATAAAATCAATGTTCTACCATGTTCTGATAACAATTGTCTTGAATAATCATTATTCCTCCCTCTGCTTCTCTTTTAAATATTCTCTCCTCCTCCTCTTGTCTCCCTAATGGTTTCTAAAGTGCGTTCCCATATCGTGCAGCAGTAAGCTCTGTAAACTGATCCGTCTGTCCGCTTCCACACCTCAGTACAATATCATTACTAACTACGCCCTGACTAACCCTCAACCACATCAGCAGGGATTTGTCCTCACCTCCACGTCCTACCCCAACACGGACCCAAACATTTCCCCCCTTCTCACTGTCGCTGATGCCCCTGAGGTTAAGGCCTAGTGGATTTTTGTTTTTTCCGCTTTGGCGTAGGAGAATTTAAAAGCATGTTCTCCTCCCCCGCCTTTGACGCCTGAAAACAGCTTTGTCGAACTAACACGATCTTTGTCCACATGAGCGTCAGAGTAAGCTTTAATCGCCGCTCATATTAATATGCCTGTGAGCTCCCACATACACTGACGTTCAGAGGAGTTTTGTCACCGTTTTCCAAATACCTCAGTTCCTGCTCGTCCAGACCAAACACCGGAGTCTTCAAACTAGACCGGCGGTGTTTCTAAAAGCTCCTCAGTTTACGCAGCTCTTTCACTTTTGAGTAACAATAATAATAAAATTAATAAATAATCTCACAGATAATTGGCAGAATTCTCATGATGTGTCTGGAAGTTCCAGGTTCATTTGACACAAGAGCTCATTTTTTTCTACTTTTTGGTAAAACATGAACAAATATTTTTTCCACAACAGATGAGTTCAGTCCATTTTTTTTTCCTCATCTGCAGTTGGAGGAAACGTAATCAGTTTTCCTTTTTCAAGTCTACTTGTTCTTCACGGAACATTTTTCCTTTTTCACTTTCACACAAGCTTGTCTTTACGTGGCTTTGGTGCAACCTCTCACACACTCACTCACTCTGCAGCTGGTTTTTGTCTGCTCTGCTCTTTGCTTCCTCCTCTTTCTGCGTGTGCATGACAGACTGCGGTCGGGTTGTGCGCCGCTATCGCCCTGAGGAAATCAACGCAGACGAGCAGGATATCGCAGCGTGAATTTCGGCAAAGCACAGAAGCGGATTCGGTTGTCAACCCGTTCCCAACCAATTCCGTTGCTTGAGTACAAGTTCAACCAGCAGATTAAAGTAAACAAACTCTCCCCTGTACTAACTTTATATTGAGCCAATAATCCGTCCTATTTTGAAACTGCAAAACAAATTTGTTGTTTAAAGCAACCCTCAATATTTTATTTTGCTCTGTGGTGAAATGGATGCTGCTCATATCCAGCATCATTCATCCAACTAGAAACAGACAACGTGATGAAAACAACACGTCCACATCTTCGGGGTAAATTCAGCTGGGAAGAGGATGGGGGACATTTCAACAGTCTATGTTATATAGTGACAGCGGTTCTAGTATTTTAGGTTTTGTGCTTTCTGTTCATCTTCCATTGAGTCTGATACTCGTGAGAATATTTGTGTTAAAAACATTATGTACTAATGTTAAAGGGATCATTTTCTTTTAAACCCATTTCAGAAGCTTTGAATCGCAGTACATAGGTGTAATGTTTCATTGTTACTGGTATTTGTTTTAGTTTGTTAAACGGACTCTTTAAACATGTCCAATGGTGTAAAGCATTATGTCTTCCCAAAACACGTTACCATTGAAATAATTGACAGTTTCCTTTTCCTGTCAAAAGCTTCTGTGAGCTCTCTTTCTGTTTACTC